GCTATGTTGCATTGTTTCAAACTCGTTTGTGATGGTTTTCTTTGTGTTCCACTGTGTAATTGATAAAGATATAGATATATAGATATAGATTGGGCAGGTTGAGGGGAATTCATCTGAAACATTTATTCTTATCATAAGAGTGTACAGACGGAGTGTTTGTTAATCAAATGGATTATAGCTTTGAACTAAGGACTGTTTGTTTTCAGGTATCAGGACTGCCTTACTCGATTCAGAGGAGCACATCTGCATCACATGCAAACAATCAGATGTTTCACCTGATAATCTAATTGCCAACAAATTTCTTCGACAGGTAACACCCTTGAAACACATGCTTTTTGATTAATGTCATATTTGTTTGATCAGAAGTGTAAGTCTAAGATGTTTTTCTTCATGCAGGCTGTGAATAACTTCAAAAATGAAACAGGATACACCAAACATGTACGCAAGCAGGTCCAACATGCAGCACGGCCTCCGCCTCGCCTCCCGTTGTCCAGACCACTGCCCTCAAGACAGCAGGACCCACTGCTGGCCAATGTCACTCACCCACCCCCTGCAAGCGCACCCACTGTTGCACCTCAAACACAAGTCCAGCCCCCTGCACCCGCTCCTCCTGTTCCTGCAGCTGCAACTGCTACTACTACTGCTGCTCCTACTCCTCCTCATGCTGCTGCTGTCGAAGTTCCAGATGTTCCACCAGCTCCTTCACCTGTCCCTGACCAACATTCTCCTATGCACTCTAACACCCAGGGTGAACCACCCCCACCTGGGTAAGTTAAGTCCTATAGTTTGTACAATTACATGAAATAACCCACTCGACAACATGGGATGTTTGAAGTAAAGGGCCATTTGAACTGGTCTCAATGTGTCTGCTTGTTTATGTTTCAGTGAAATGGATCCAGAACCTACTGTGACGCGAAGCCCAGAGAGTACCCCAGAAATTGGACCACATGTGAGTCCCCTTGGATGACCAGATAATAATGTATCTGTCATGGTTGTGATGGAGCTCAATAGATAGATAAAGTTTTCAGGAGTAAAAATCCCATTCATTTTCTGAAGAGATTTTGATCATCAGCCATAATATTCTTTCCATCCAAGGTAGACTCATTACAAGTTTGTGAAACAATGTTATATGCTCCTATAGAAGCCACAAGTCCTTCTAATAACAACAGCATTTTAAGAAAAATGTGTTTTATTCACACAATCTCACAATCTGGGCATTTACTGTTTTGCTCTATTATTGGCGTTATTAACTTGCTTAGGTGCATCCTTACCACCAAGCTGTACATTCCTGAGAACTAGAATAGTAATGTCTCCAAAAGCTAACTACGTCTTTCACTGATTTCTATACAGGGCTACCATTTATCTGTTCTTGGCCACCCACCACCGACAAGGCCACCTCATCCATCAGGTAAGAGGTTAAATTTCGATCATTTAAGGAGTCTAAGTGAGCTTGAAGGAAAGACATTCAGCAGCTAACTAAACTGTGTCTCTGCTCCATTAGGTCACCAGTCAAGGCCCCATCACTCTCACCGAGGGGGAGGCAGACATTGGGAGAGGTGAGACCCCGTCTATGGTACTATGAAATGTTAGTATTCTAATATGTCGGCCTCTCAATGAATGTTTCTCTCCCTCTGAACCAGGTCCTACAGAGGTAGAGGAGACCACCCCCCGGCCCACCTCAATACAGCTCCGCCTCCTGGACCTGCTCCTCCTGTGTACCCGTCTCCATCCCTGTACCCACCCCCACCACAGCCCTACCCTCCTCCCTACACTTCTGGCCTTATCCCTCCTCCTCCAATTGGTTACCCACCCCAGCCAATTTATGCCCCTGGACCACCTGGGCTTAACCCTCCCTGGATCCCCCCTGGTGTCCAGCCCCCTCTAGCCCACCTTGGACCCTCCCTCTCTCAGCCCCCCCTCTCTAAGGAAGATTTCTACAGACAAAGGCACCGACAGGACAAGTGAGTAGTTTCTATTTGATCTTGAGTCGTCCTACAGCTACAGCAGCTACAGATTTGAAATTGACATACATTTACATCACTCAGTGGGATTATGATGAATTCATTATGCTTTACTAATGAAAAATGAGTACAGTAGTTTTGAAAGTTTGAATGTTTGTGTCTTTGTATTCACAGAACTACGTCCAAACTGGATGAATTTACTAAAGACTTCCACAAAGAGCTTATGAAGTACAGAAATCCACCAAAGAGACGAAGACCATCTTATTCCAGGTAACTTATTTAAGAGGACATTTCCAAATTGGTTTTAGTTCTTACATTAATTACGTATGCCTAATCCTTCAAACCATTCAGTCAATTTATTAGATAATCTGCTTCTTTCTTTTTTGGTTTCCTGATTTTCTTCTCCATTCTTTCCTCTCCCAGGTCCCGGTCATTCAGTCGTTCTCCATTCAGCCGCTCTCCTTACACTCGCTCTAGATCAAGATCTAGATCCAGGTCTTACTCTTATTCCCCAAGTCGATCCCGCTCCCGTTCACGCTCTCATGGTCGGTCTTTTCCACGCTCCCCTTATTCCAGACACAATGGACGCAGTTACGGACGTTCACGGTCAAGGTCCCGCTCACGCTCGCGGTCTTATGGGTATCGCCGTTCTGGCTCTCCACGGTCTCCTCCTCCCTTCCGGGCAGGCCCCTGGGAGGGAGCAGAAGGAGCAGGACCCTTCAGGTCCCGGTCTCGCTCCCCTGGTGCCTTCCGGGGCCGCAGCCCTGGTGGACGGAAGCCACCTCCTCGGGAGCTGCCGCCGTATGAACTAAAGGGACCAAGTCCTGGAGGACATGATCGCTGGGAGAGAGAAAGGTATCGGCAATGGGAAAAGGAGTACACAGACTGGTACAACAAGTATTACAAAGATTATGACAACCAACATCCCTCACTGCATCACAGAGGTCGTGGCAGCAGAGACAGGGAGAGGGACAGAATGTCTCCATTACCCAGAGATTACTCCCCTCAGGGCAGAGGAAGAAGAGGGAGAGAAGAGAGAGGTGCTCCCCCTCACCATCCTCCATCCTCTTCATCATCAGGGACTAAGTCCAGCACAAAAGTCCTTAAAACAAAGAAAGTAAAAAAGAAGAAGCCTGGGGAGGAACCTGAGCCATCACACCAGTCAGCAGACAGAGGTGATGCTACTCCTGTCAGAGATGAACCAATGGATGAAATCCCCATCAATAAAACGCCCCCGATCACCTCAAAACCTGCATCTGGCTCCGCAGTCGCCAAAGCTCCTACTTCTAAAAGTCTTGCTGCACCTGTTAAACCCTCAAACAAGCCCACATCCAAGACCCAGTCTGATAAGACCAGGAAAGAGAAGGGTCAGAAAGTAAAACCCAAAGTGAAGACAGAGGGTGTGAAAGCAAAGAACGACAAGGTAAAGAAAAAGACCGGAGAAGTAGTGGCCATCAAAAAGAAAGAGTCCTCGTCCTCCTCCTCCTCTGTCTCTAAACCAGTTAAGACCGTCAAAGCAAAGCCAGAAGATAATTTCAACTCAACTACCCCCAAAAAGGAAAAGAGTAAAAGTTCTACAGTGAGGCCTCCCTTGCTTAAGACCCCTCCACTGTCCTCACAGACCCTGCCTCTACCTCATTCTTCTCTTCATGATGGCCCTCGACTCAGCCATGACATTCGGGGAAGAAGAGATCTTCCACAAAGTAGTGGTCTCCTCCCAATCTCCCATCCACATGGACTCCCACTCCTCCATCGACCTCCCTCTCCGGTGGATGGTCGGAGGAGGATGGGGGATGAGGGCCGCTCTTTACTGGGACCTCCTCCTGGAAAGCTGCGGAGGATTGATGGGCTAGGGAGTGGTGGCGACGTCCTCTCCCACTCACACATGTCTCACCAGCCCCCGCTCCACAGACTCCAGCTCTCTTCAGACAGACCTGGTCTTCTTCCCCTGCCTGGGAGCCGTGAGATGATGCGAGACACAGATCGAGGACCCATTAGACCTCTAATGGACCTGCCGGTGGGTCTAATTCTTTTATGTTGTTTTGAGAGTTTTTAAAGAATATTTGTTCATTGGGAAAGTTTGGTCACATTAGACTGGTTGGCTGTGGCAGTTGAGGTAATAGTGCTAAACACATTGATAGGCTCAAACTCTGCTTGGAACCACATTGTAGTCTGTTATAAACATTTATTAAATGGTGTATAAATGCTTAATCCTGCCAGAAACCATGACTTTAATTTAACCCTCTTAATTTTTTTTATGCATTTTTGTCCAATTCCAGATGCCACTCACCCAGAGGAGGATCAAGTTGAACAGAGATCTGGGGAGAAAAGGCAGCACTGAGACACCTGCCTCGGACAGAGCACCATTAGGTCCTGATAAGATGTCGTCCACCTCAGACCGATCAGCTTCTTCAAACGTTTCTGAAGGTGACAGATCCAACTGTACAACAGAAGGGGCTGGACGAAAGGAGCGTTCTGCATCTGCAGAGAGGAAAGTCTCTCGAGAAAGACCAGGGAGCGCTGCAGAGAGACTGCAGGGCTCAGACCGAGAGCAGGACAGAGTCTCGGGACCAGAAAGAGATCGAGACAGAGCATCTGGATCAGACAGAGACAGAGCGTCTGGATCAGACAGAGACAGAGTGTCTGGATCAGACAGAGACAGATGTGTTGGTTCTGAAAGAGAGAGAGAGAGGGACAGGGTTTCGGGGTCGAGCTCACAGAAAGTACCAGTGACGGCGGAGAGAGATGGCGAAAGAGAGAGGTCAGCGAGGACAGAACGAAGGACCTCCAGTGGTGGAAGTGGAGGAGGGCGGTCGGTCTGTCTGGATAAAGTGACCATTGGTGAGAAATCAGCTACCACCAGGACACCGGACCATCAGGAGAAACCAAGCGTGTCCTCCAAGGAGAGAAGTGAAGGTTCAGACAGAAATATGAAATCTGACAGGTCTGTTGCTCTCTTACTTGTCAAACCAACATCCGTATCCATGTTTTGAATGAAAGAAATTGTTTCAGTGGTGTTATCTGTGAACACAGCTGTAATATGTGTAATTATACCCTTATTTCCCAGGAGTGTGTCCAAAGACAGAACAGAGAGGGTTGTCCCCTCAGGAGAGAAACCAGCTGCTGCTCAGAAAGACGGTAATTAGCATCACTGTATGAGTGCTCGTGTGTGTGTGAAGAGATGATAACTTTGATTTTGTTTTGTGCCATGTAATTATGCATTGATTGAACCTGTGTCTCTGTTACTGCTCCCTCTTGTTGCTCCAGCAGGGAAAGATGGCGAAGGGTCTGTTGTGAAGAGCAAACCCAGGATCAGTCGAAAGGTTCTGACGAGTCACAGCAGCTCCACCAGGTGAGTACGTTATTTGTTGACGATTCAGTTTTTCATTTCTAATATCAAACTGTGTACCGCCTTGATGTTTTAGATACATTTTGTTTGTCTTTGGGGAATTCTTGAGATCTTGAGTTGAACCCCCCATTACAAACCAAAGTTCATATGAGTAGTGTTACCTTGAAATACAGTAGCTTTAGGTCAAATTTAAGTTTATCAGGACAGAGACTTGAATAAATATTTCAAACTAAGCATGTAGTTGGTTATTAGGAACAGGTATCTAAACTCAATCAAAACAAAAAACCTTGCGATCAGCGTCTTGTGCAGCTTCTAGTGATGAGACTATATTTAAAGGAAAGGGTTTTGGTAGATGTTATTGAGATTCTTTTGTTCTATATAAGTGCATTTCCTAAAATCTTGAGCTGTATCTTTACAATATGAGGAAAACCTAAGGAGACGGTTACACACAGCTTTCCGATACTGGATATGTGAGACTCGTTTCTGATCACTTCAAACCCAACAAATCCACACACACATCTTGTGTCACAGGTTGGTTGATCAGCTGTGTGGAGGTGATAAATTAACGAGCGTATGAACATCCCTCTCAGCTCCCTTCTTCATTTATTACGCAGCTATTTTGGGGGATTTTCATGTCATCAACTTCGAGAAATATCGTTTGGGAGAAACTATTTGAAAATGTGCACCATTATCCCCTCTAATGATATCACACCACACCCCTTTTGTGATAGACAAATACTCTGTTACAGTCACGGCAGTTATATTCTTAGGCTTCTTGTATTAAAAATGAAGCTGAATTAGTCAGATAATCGGTTGACTGAACATGAATCTATATTTTGATGATGAATTAATCATTCAACTCATTTTGCCATCAAAAAGGTCCCTAGTTCCACATTCTTAGTGTGAGGATTTGCTGCTTGTCTTTGTCTGATGCAATATTAGGAGTTGTATCATCAAAGCAAAGATGTCACCTGTGGCTGTGGTAATTTTTCATGACATGTTATAGACCTAATGAATCAACTCATCAAGAGAATAAGATGTTAATGTTTCTCAAATTGAATAAATGTAAGTTTTCCATATCATAACTGAGTGAATCTGACTGAATGACATTGGCAGTAACATTTTGAACTGTACCCAGCCCTAAAGGTTATTGTTTGAGTTGATTGTATCACATTCCTCAATCATCTTCAATGTTTTATGCTTTTTCCTCAGCTCTCGATCGACTCAGGAGACAAAGAGAAGCTCGGAGAAAGACCAGAAGAGCGTATCCTCTAAACCTGCCGAGCTGCCCCCCAGTAGCCCTGTGAACTCCAGAGGCCGCAGCCCCAGTGTCAGCCCAGCAGTCAGCCTGGCCAGAGAGGAGCCACTCATTCAGCCACCTCCTCGCTCCAAGTGGGAGAGAGAGGATGATGAAGAAGGGCAGGAAAATGGAGCCACTGAGCCCAAGGAGCCTTCACCGGTGCCTCAGAGGAGCCGAGGCAGAGAGGGGCAGACCGAAGCTCCTAAACCAGTCAAGAGTGAAAGCCGGGAGTCTGTAAGGGAGGAGAGGAGGGGACCTGTGAGGGAGGAAAAGAAAATGAGAGCACCAAGGGAAGAGGGTAAGGGTGGTAGGGTGGCACAGGTGAATTCTGACAAACCAACCAAATCAAAAATGGTGAGGGAGGAGGGAAGAGGGTTAAGAGATGAAGGGAGATCTGCAGCGAGGGAGGAGGGGAGAGGAACGACTGGGAAGGAGGAGAGATCAGCAGAAGGGAGAGGACGGGAGGAGAGTCGTGGCCCAGAGCCCAGGAGACAACGTTTGTGTTCTGACCTGGGACGTGAGACAGATGAGGCCGCCTTCGTCCCCGACTACAGTGAAGGCGAAGGCTCGGAGCCGGAGAGAGGAAGGAGCGGCAGCCCCAGCCTGTCCGTCAGCCAACCCTCCCGAAGCGCCAGCCCGAGCAACCCCAGCGACTCAGGCACCACCACCACTGCAGACAAGAAAAAGAAGAAACACAAGAAACACAAAAAACACAAAAAGCACAAGAAGCACGGCAGTCTGGAGAAAGCAGAATCCAAGGAGCACAAGCACAAACACAAGAAGAAGAAACACAAAAAGAACAAAGACAAAGATGCGGAGGAAGAGGAGGAGAAGACGGAGAAAACAGAAGAGCAGGCTCCATGCTAACAGGAGGTCACCGAAATCTGGAACCACCTTTGTTCATAAGGAGCGTAGGAGTTTAAATTTCCCTGGCACTGATGGAGGGTTTGTCTCTTTGTCCCTGCTGCTCTCCACACCTTCACTTCACTGTGTTGTGTCTGGACTGCAGCAAAATGTGAGCGCTGCTGAGCTTTCTAAAACTCTGTGGCGACGTTGGGTCAAGATGTTGTGCTGCACTATTGTGACCGACCGAGAGCCAGACAAAAAGAACTTGATGATAATAGCTGATCACGCAGCAGTGAATCTAAATGATAGGAGTAATAAACTGTACTCAGGGATGTGATTGCTTATTTGTGAAGGAGAAATTGCTGTTTCTCTGCCTCTGATTTATTTGTAAATAGAGATGATGATGACATGATAATTTTTCCTAGGTTTGTTTTTTGCTCACATCCCTCCTGTGCTGTTCAAGGCTTCAACACTGGGTAACCTTCAGTGCTGTGCCTCTGTAAGCTTGTTTTGCAGTATTGCATGTTTTAGCACATTGACATAACTATGAATTTTCCACTTTGCTTTACTGCTAACCATTTTCAAGGTAATCTCATTTTTTGGACAGCCGTGGGTTCAACTCATACCAGGTTATTTGTATGATTTACTAAATTTCCATCAAGGCAATGTGGTAAGTTTCATTCATTTAATTCTCAGACACTGAAGCAATTTGGTGCTCCTAAGTGAATTCCAGTGGCTCCCCCAGAAAAGGTGAAAGTTGTGGTTAGCAGTAAAGTTTGTGAATAATGGGCTTACATTTGTAAAAAAGTTTTTTCCTTAATTTAAAGCAGACCACTCGTGCTACACTGGATTGTTTAAATCTAGGATGTGTTTACTAAAAATAGCAAATCAGTCTGCATGTTTTTGTTCCAAAGGTGCAGTAGCTGTCATGTTATGTGAGCGCGTGAATGTGTGCGATGGTTTGAAAGTGAAATGTGACAGAAAGAGGAGAATTTGAGGAACTGATGTTCTTACAAATGAGTTGTTACTTCCCTTTTTTTTTTAATTAAAATGTTTTGACCAGATGAAAACGTCTCCAGTTGTATTTTATCGACATTTGAAGTCGCCTCAACAAACACAACACATTTTTCTAAGTTGTACATTTGTGTCTGACTTTTCTGCTTTTTCTCTGAGGTCTGACCATCTAACATCATGGAAGCACAGATGCATGGTTCAAATATAAATGTATCATCTATATATTAAGGATAATGAAAATATAAAACCTATTCATTGTACCTTAATGAATGGGTTTTCCTTTTTGATTTTAAATGCAGGATACTTGCTTTTTATTATTTTATGAAGAGAGATTTGTTCCTTAAAGGCGAGTGGTCTTAGGCTTTTCAATTCAGTTTTATTTATTCACCAAATCATAACTTACATTATCTCAAGGCACTTTACAGGTGGAGCCCTTTTAACCGAAATAAAATATTGATTATACTGAAGTCATATGAACTTATAGAAATTAGGATAATACCTAATATTATTTCAGCTAAACTAGAAAGCTGATGACAAATAATACAATGTATAAAATTGCTGCCAATGTATTCAATTCTTTCAGTAGTTTCCATTCAATAACGAGTAATTCCTTGTGTAGAAGCTCAGTGATGATTGGGACAAAGATGAGCAACACACACTAAACCTAAAAGTGACAAAAGAGCAAAGATTCACTGCAGCACACGGAGAGTCTGATTTATCTGGATGTAACTGGATTTTTTTAAGAGAAGAATTATCTCCTCGACAGCAGTTTTCTCAGGCACAGCAGTGAATTTCAGGGTCATTGGCTGCTCATTTCTTTCTTTTCTTTCTTTTATTAACATGAAAAATTAAAACATCCCTTAAGAACACAAGTGCAGTGAGACCGACTAAACACTGTGTGGCGCTGTGAGTCCTTCAACTTGGAACACAGGAGGGAAACATATAAACAAAACAAAAAAAAAAATCTCTCACATGCTTCAGCTCCAAAACACAACTCACAATTTTGTCAGTAACTCTGCCTCCCAGAGCACACAGCAATAAGCCTCGTTGTGTGCATGTTTGTGTGTCTGTGTGTGCATGTTGTAAGTGTGTGTACCCATTGGAGGGATGGCGTGACTGGTGGATCACAGAGGAAGCAGCCAGGAGATGGGTTCACAGACGGGTTGAGGGACGCTGAGGAACAAGTGAGCAGCAGAAGATAAAAGCTCAGCTTAGTCCATGCATTGTGTGTGTGTGTGTGTGTGTGT